AAGCAAACATAGATACCAGAGACAGTGTGGGAGGAGAGTGGGAGATGGCAGAGGGTAAGAGATAGGGAATCAAGGATGGGGGGGAAAAAAGCAAAACGTACAGAAAACAAGAAATGGAAGATCATTTGCTGACAATAACATGTTTGTTGATGTGCTTGATTGAGACAATATACAGTGTACTCTGGATGGAAAATCTCATTTTGTATGCTGTAATGATGTACAGTGAATGAATGCAAATAAATGAATTGGAAAAAAAATCTATGTGGACTTGGTAAAGGACATGACTAGTTGTGCTTTAGGGCAAAAAGAAACTTTATAGGGACTATATTCTAAACATTAAAGTAAGTTATTTTTAAATAATAATAATTCAAGTCTAAGAAGTCCAATCCTAAATCATAGTATATCATGAAAACTGTGTTTCTTTTTCTTTTCTTTTTCTCTTTCTCTTTCTGTTTGTATTTGCCAGAGGGCACATGTACATGCCAGAGAAAAACAGAGAGCGAGATGATGAGAAAGCACCCCTCACCCCATGGGGAATGGTTATGTCTCAATCCCTTCTCCTTTTCTCCCTCCTTTTGGGATTTTGGTTATGTATGTTTTCAACATGTTTTCCAGCTGCCAGATACAGGGCCAGAACTTTGTAGTTGACCATGTGGGATCAAGCTGCTTAACCACAACATAGGCAAGCCCAAACATTTTGTTTCTTGCTATGTGTTATGTCAAAAAAAAAAAAATAGTAAGTCAATATTCTGGTCATGTAACACCAGACAACTCAACACCAGTATTTGTCTTTCAAGTATTCAGGCAGTTCCTAAACAGCCCACTGGTGGCTAACAGGGTCACACAGATCACCACTGCAGTTGTTTTCAGTTTTATTTTGAATTTATGCTTGTGTTTTATTTTTGTCTCTCTCAAAAATGGTTCATACCAAAAAGTATGGATCTTACTATTAAAATTTAAGTATTTCCTTTATGACATACATACACACGCACACATACATAGAGAGATAGTCCTCAATAGGGACATCAGGCTGTGATTCTCCCTCATGTCCTGAAACTAGCCAGTGTCATGGGCTTTTTCACAGGACCATACAGGCCTGCTACATAAATCCAGAGTTTTCCTATGAAGTTTTCACTGTAATAGTTTCTGTGGCTGCCTGCACCACTGCAACTAGGACATGTACTTTAGTTGTTAGGTTGGCTTGTCACACATCCATGGATTTGGCAATAAGTAGGCAATGAGCCTGACCTGAAAAGATAAAACTACTAGAGGAAAGCAGTTCATGACACTGGTCTGGGCAAGAAGTTTTTAGATAAGATGCCAAAAGCATAGGCAACAAAGAAATGCAGTCATCAGGGCATAGCAGAGCCACTACTTTATTAGCATAAGATGCAAATCAAAAGGCAATATGTAAATTGCTTGCAAACGTAACATCTGCAATAATGACTCTTAAATGAAAGTGATACTTTCTCTGTCAGGATTGTTACAAAATACTGATTAGCTCCGTATACATCATTGATTCCTGCCATGTGACAGGGAATAACTGGAATGCTGGAAATGAAAAGATCAATGATGCTTGGTGCTTGCAATGGAGAATATCATACTCTGGTGGGACAAATGAGCATTTCTGTGTGTTTATGTGTGTCCCGCTCTCTCTTTGCTAACTCACCAAAAGTCAATAATAGAGACTCCATCCTAATAACATAATCACTTCGAAGGGCCCAACCTTTTGACATCTTGAAAGTACTAAGTTTCCTAATTTCAACACATGAATTTTGGGAAGACACAAACCATAGCCGTGCATTAGTCTTGGTGTTTGAGCCAGTATTGACAGCTGTGACAGGACTTCTGTTGTGTTATTTCTATAGATGCTTTCAAATACATCAAAAACACCAGATCCCTCCTGCATTGACCTGTGTTGCCTTGTGTTAATTTGAGTCTGGAAGATTAAATGCTATTTCTATGATCCTGCTCCTGATGAGGCTATCAGCATTAAATATAAACCTGGGCCACAGAGGGCACTCCCCTAAGAGGGTGACTGCTACTGTTCTTAGTTGAGGCACAGGGGGTTCTCAGTTTTCCTGCTCCAAGTTCAGTCTTAGGCATGTCCTTCATGCATAATCTTAAGGGGTGGGCTTTCTCAGCATTCCTTCTTTGTATTGGTCAATATCTTTTCTGTATCATTGGTGGATCTTGTGCAAGAACAAGTTTTCTATCCTTTTTCCCAGAGTAGCAGACCTTTGCATTATATCAATGTGAGTTAATGGGCCAAAGCAGGTTTATGGCCCCACCTCCAGGCACAGACACCTTTGTTTCTATCCCTACATGGATCTTAACTAGGGACTTATGGATTTCTTGTCCCTGTCAAAGTCTGATTACTTTGACTCTTTAAGAAAAGCCTTTGAGGCAGCAAGATGGCATCTGCTAGCAGGGTCGTGCAGGTAGTAAAGCCACATACACCATCAATAAGTTTTCCTGACAGAAGAGACAATCCTAAACCCAATGTATCAGAAGCTTTGAGGTCAGCAGGGCTGCCATCCCATTCTTCTGTAGTTTCACAGCATTCTAAAGGAAGTAAATCACCAGATTTGCTAATGTATCAGGGTCCACCAGACACGGCAGAAATAATAAAAACTTTACCTCAGAAATACAGAAGGAAACTGGTGTCTCAAGAAGAAATTGAATTTATCCAACGTGGTGGTCCAGAGTAATCACTGTGGCTGCTGTTTTCATCAAAAAGAAGAATTGGCTTGGGGAACCAGCAGTTAGCGTAATGGCTATGTCGCTGGACTCCCACATAGTCAACCACGGTTCATGTCCTGGACCCGGTGGCTTAAAACTCACACCAGGCATGTGTGCGTGCGTGCCCAAGATCCCGAGAGAATGGAGGAGAAGGGATTGCGGCATGACCATCCCCTCTGGGGGGTGATTTCTCGCTTTCTGTCTCTATGTCTCTCTCTGTCTGTCTGGCGAGCGCACGTGCCCTATAGTGAATACCTCTCCAAAAATAAAAAAAAAAATTTTTTTTAATTTAAAAAAAAAGAAAGAAGAATTATCTTTACAATAAAGGAGTTCCAAAATGACAAATGAGAAATTGTATATTAAACAATTTACTTTAAAAAATATTCTGTAAAAAAAGAAATATAGAAAATTTAGATAGATACTTGTGTCTCCTAATTTATGTATCTTGGTCAGCTCCAAGCTTACCTAATTATTTATATACTTTTTACTTATTAAAGTATACATTTTTACATATTAGCCTATTAATTTACTCTTATCAAGTATCATCAGTTTTGCACTATTAAAATCACAGTGTCTAATAAACTGCCATAGGTTTCTCATAATTTCACTTTTCTTTCCAACTAGACATGGAAAGAATTTACCAGGCAGAATTGCAATTTTAGGGACATAATTTTTCTAAAATTGAATGAGGATCAGTGAACTAATTAATATCTGTTTTCTTTTTTTCACATTCACAAACTTTAGTAATTATAACTGGCTTAATAAGTGTATCATACTCTAAATGACAAAATGATAGCAGAGATACAAAAGGTGAAATTAAGACTGGGAAGATAACACAGAAGATTTTATGTAATCTATATTTTTTAAAAAATCAATATAAAATGAAAATAAAAGATGGAAATGAATATAAGATAGGAATAAATGTTTCACTAGAAATTGCAATTATGTTTAGGGGTGTTAAACTTTAGTCTTTGGTTTATTTTACCATTTTGATTGTGATCATGTATGCAAATGCTGAAAAGCATTAACTTTCTCATACTGAATATCTGAAAGCCTCGTAAATCAATCTAAATATTTATCTTATTAGGCAATTTATAACACTTTAATAGGGCCTTTCTATGCCAAGGTTATATATATTGTGAAAGTAAAACCTTTCAAAGTTAAGTAAAATCTCCTCTATACCTTTAAAAACAGAGGGGGCAAAAAAGCCATTGCTGGTATGTTCATACAGTGGAATATGCTTTAGCCTAGAAAAAATGAGATCTTGCTATTTGCAAGATGGATAGACTCAGATGATATTATGCTAACTGAAATAAACAGAAAAGTAAATATATTATATGATTTCACTTACAAGTGGAATCTGAAAAAAGTGGGGCATTAAATAAACAGAGATAGAAAATAAAATGGTGATTACCAGAGTTGGAGGTAATTGGGTCCATTGGGGAGGTAGGGAATGAAGAAATGTAAGTCAAAGGATACAGAGTAGCAAATACATAAAGTGAACACGTCTAGAGAACTAATGTACACTCTGAGGAATATATTACATAAAAAAAATTGTGTTAGGAATTTTTGTTAAATAAGTAGGTTTTAGCAGTTCTTGCCACACAGAAAAGTACCTGTATGAGATGATAACAATCCATTGTTAATATTATAACTACTGGTACCAAAAAAAAAAGTAGTATAAAGTGCTTGAATTAAAATATAATTCAGGACCTTGCAAACTATGGCTTCCAAGGTAAACCTAGCCTTGGTTTTTGTATAGTCTTTGAGCTAAGATAGTTTTTTTACATTTTAAATGTACTATTTTAAAAAGCAGAACAATGTGCCACACAGCCTTTATGTAACCCACAAGGACTAAAATATTGACAACCAGGCCCTTTAGAAAAAAGATTTGGAGATATTGTATTAATATAATATTTATTTTTCTTCTTTACATCTCTGCATACATTTTTCCAAGCATTTACTAGTTGACTTATTTAATAACTGAAAAATATACATTACTTTTTTTCTTTCTTTTTCTTCCTTTTTGTTCTCTTATTTCTTTTTTCAATTTTTTATTTTTTTATTTTTATTATCATCATAATATTCTTTATATAACATTGGATTACATATAACTTTACAGTGCATTACATTGCTTTTTCAAAAGGGAATGCCATGCATGTCAGTCAATACAGAGACATTAATCTCCACACTTCATCATTCAATATCTTTTCTATATTTTTGCAATCATTATTATTATAGCTCTAATTATTTTTTAAAACAGTCAATTACTATTTCTCATTTTGCTTGTAAAAAGACTTTGCCCATCATGAAATACTTCTCAGACCAATCCAGTTGAGAATACTATACATGTCATCATCAACAGGTAATAAGGGAACCAGCAGTTAGTGTAATGGCTTTGTCGATGGACTCCCACGTAGTCGACCACGGTTCACGTCCTGGACCCAGTGGCTTAAAACTCACGTCAGGCGCGTGTGCGTGCGTGCCCAAGATCCCAGAGAAGAATGGAGAAGAAGGGATTGCGGCGTGGCCATCCCCCCCGGGGGGGTGATTTCTTGCTTTCTGTCTCTTTGTCTCTCTCGTGAGCGCACCCCCCCCAAAAAAAAAAAAAAAAAAAAATCCTCTCCAAAAAAAAAAAGAAAGAAAGAAAGAAAAAGAAAAAACAGGTAATAAGCCATATCTGTTCCGCACTAATGTCCTGCCTCCCTATTTGTTCTCTTGCTATCTTTTTCTATCCTCTTCTCTTCACCCACCCAACAATCCACACTTTCCTATTCACCTATTCTCATTAAGTACCTTCACTGTGTTTATGTCCTCCGAATTTTTGCTCTCTATTATAGAGTGCGGATAGTCGGTATATATTGAGTGGATACATACAATATCTTTCTTTCATAGCCTGGCTTACTTCACTCAGCAATAGATCCTCCATATCTGACCATTTTCTATCAAATTCCAGGGTCTTGTTATTTTTTATGGCTGAGTAGTATTCCATAGAGTATATATACCACACTTTTCCAATCCATTCATCAGTTTGTGGACATTTAGGTTGGTTCCATGTCTTGGCAATTGTGAATAATGCTGCAATAAACATGGATGTGCAAGCACTTTTCTGACTGAGCGTTCTCCTGTCTTTTGGGTAAATACCCAGAAGTGGGATTGCTGGATCAAATGGTAGTTCTATTTGTAGATCTTTGAGGAACCTCCATATTGTTCTCCACAGTGGTTGAACTAGTTTACATTCCCACCAACAGTGTAGGAGGGTTCCCTTTTCACCACATCCCCGCCAACACTTATCACTTTTTATATTCTTAATCTTTGCCATTCTGACAGGGGTTAGGTGGTATCTCATTGTGGTTTTTATCTGCATTTCCCTTATGATGAGGGATGTCGAGCATTTCCTCATATGCTTTTTGGCTGTTCGTATGTCTTCCTTAGAGAGACTTTTGTTCAGCTCACTTTCCCATCTTTTAATCGGGTTAATCATTTTTTTTCGCATAAGGCACTTGAGTTCCCTATGTATTCTCGTTATCAGTCCCTTGTCTGAGGCATATTTAACAAAAATATTTTCCCATTCTGAGGGTTGTCGGTTCACACTTGTTACTGTGTCCTTTGCTGTGCAGAAACTTCTTAGTCTAATATAGTCCCACTTGTCTATTTTAGGGATTATTGCCTGTGCTTTGGGAGTCTTATTTAAGAAGTCTTTGCCTACTCCAATGTCTCCCAGAGTTTCCCCAGCATTTTCCACAAGTAGTTTTATTGTCTGAGGTCTTAGGTTCAGATCTTTGATCCATTTTGAGTTGACTGTTGTTAATGGTGAAAGATGGGGGTTCAGTTTCATCTTTCTGCAGGTGGATACCCAGTTTTTCCAGCACCATTTACTAAAGAGGTTTTCCTTTTCCCAAAGGATTGACTAATATCCTTTGTCAAAGATCACTTGGCTTTATGCTTTGGGGTTTGTTTCTGGGGTCTCTATTCTCTTCCATTGGTCCACATGTCTGTTTTTATGCCAATACCATGCTGGCTTTTTGGAGGTTTTTTGGTTTTTCTTTTTTTTTTTGGAGAGGTTT